GAGTGTCAGGACCGTCCGGTCTGCAGAAACTCGTGGTCCGTCCGTTCTCACAGGTAGACTGTCCGTTCTACATCCAGAACGAACGGTCCGGGACCCAGACTCCGAGATTTTTGATTTCTGATCCGATTGTGCAATCGTTGCTTAATCTGATTGACTGTGACTCAAATAGACATGATTTATTCTTATGAATGGTCCATAGTGAATGAATGCATATAACTTGATCATGATATTGGATATGCTTGATTGAGTGGGAGCTTCGAGATTGGGATTACATAATCGAATGGATGGTCTATTCGGATTATGTAATACATCTGAGCAAGGAACAATTGTTGATCCTTGATATGTACAATCGTTGCACAGAAACCGGTTAGATCTAGGAGCTCTATGAGTAAAGCACTTGTCAAGGCCTCGATCGTACGTGTCATGGGCCATGCCAAAGCTGGGTGTGTCGTATTATCTTGGTGAGGCAAGATGGAGAAATGGTGGTTCTCATAACTTGAAAGTAGATGCTTGATCTAAGTGTGGTTTCGAAAATCCCTTATTTATGTAATGCTGAGCGTGTACCTCCCATTACACGGGTCATGCCAAAGATGAGCGTGTCGGATTATCTTTGTGAGGCAGGGTGGGAAATCGTGGTTCCCAAAATTTGAATATGGTTTACCTTACTTTAAGTTGTCAAGTTTGACTTGAGACTTAATGGTACAGATGAGATGAGTATGCAATGATATTCGATATCATAGTCTCATAAAAGATCTAAGAGTCACATTGGATGTGATTGACATTAGATGTCTACCTAAATAGCGTAAGACTGAGTGTAACAACTCATTCTGATGTGAAATACGGATCTTAGTCTCATATAGAAAATTATTGTAGGGTTAATTTTCTGCATGGGAATATAGCTTATATGTGCATCATGTTGTCATTGATTGATGATGGACTAGCTGGTAGTAGATCATTGATGTGTTGTCGTTGATTGATGATGGACAAGCTGGTAGTAGATCATTGATAGAATCTACAATTTTGTTTGTTCGTTCTGTTTTGTCTCTTTTTGTAGGACATGGCGTCAACCGGTAGCGTACCGAGTTTGACGATGCGATCTATCCTTGAGAAGGATTAGTTGACCGAGACGAACTTCATAGACTGGTATCGTAACTTGAGAATAGTTCTCAAGCACGATAAGAAGTCATACGTCCTGGAAGGGGCTCTACCACCAGAGCCTGCGGCCAATACCTTATCTTTACATCTGTGTTGTCATTGTTTTGATGATGGACTAGCTGGTAGTGGATCATAGATAGATTGACACTGATTGATGATGGACTAGCTGGTAGTAGATCATTGATAGAATCTACAATTTTGTTTGTTCGTTCTGTTTTGTCTCTTTTTGTAGGACATGGCGTCAACCGGTAGCGTACCGAGTTTGACGATGCGATCTATCCTTGAGAAGGATTAGTTGACCGAGACGAACTTCATAGACTGGTATCGTAACTTGAGAATAGTTCTCAAGCACGATAAGAAGTCATACGTCCTGGAAGGGGCTCTACCACCAGAGCCTGCGGCCAATACCACGAAAGCCGTCAGGGATGCTTGGTTGAAGCATTAGACTGACAACAATGAGATCTCCTGTCTCATGTTGGGAAGCATGGCCCCAAATCTGCAGAGGCAGTTTGAGGGGAA